TATTCACCTTCCTGACATTAGACTTCCAGCTCTCTGGCTGGCGCATACGTTTTTTTCCATTTTGAACATTAGTTTCATCCTCAATATTCATCATTTCACAAAATAATACAGAATATACACTACACTTCGGTTAACAGCCGACTAGAACAGACTGCGAAAACAGTAAAACTCACTCAGGTATGTGACTGCAATGCCAAGTCGGGCGTGCGCCATTGACAACGGTCGAAAGTTGAGTCGTGAACGGAACTAACTCCGGAATTGAGATCCTGCAAGCAAGCAATTTGATGAAACCCAGCCTATGAGAAATGTTCACACAGGTAGTACGATCGGGTGTAGCAATTCATTGGAGCAAGGTGTGTTAACTCGAGTTAAAAAACAGGAATCACCCCACCGTGTTCCAATGCTCTAGACCATCCCTTTCCCCCCTATAGCAATCTGATTCGCTATAGAGGCACAACAATCAGCCAAATGCTCTTCATTGAGGTCCTGGGTAATAGAACCCCAACATGGTGTCCTAACCGATTGCAAAAACTCAGGACAGCGCATCTCCGCTATATTCCTGTTTATCTTAATGTGGCTTATCCGCGAACTAAAATTGCTTACTTGGGCCTCAAGTCTCCGCTCTGAGTCCCGGCTCTAGTTCGGCGACTTGGTGCTCAAGGGGGTTGGGCCGTACGTGCCCGGGTTTTGGGGTTTTTGTTAGTTTTTTTGGTGGCCGAAGCCGGTTTTTTGTTAGTATTATTTGATTTTTTTGGTGGCCGAATCCGGTTTTGTGTGTTTTTTTGTAATTTTTTTTTGTAGGTGACCTGTGGACAAAAAATCATAATTAGTATATAGTCTATATTATAATAAAGAAAATATATAAATATTATACGATACCACAATACAGACTGTATCCTTATTTGAGCAGCTGGGCTCACTGTGTATGAGGCGATAAGCGATATTCTGGGCGATTTGAGCTACGAACTGTCTTCCTTGTGTGTGTGGTATGATTTGAAGTTTCTTCTCACTGGGCTTTTTGTTGAATTCTGTCCATCTGGGGGGGTTTTTTATTTCTCTCTCTGGTTTTATTTTAGTCTACTATTTGTTGTTTTGGTCTTTTGTGCTTCCATCTGTGGAAAGCGTCATACCTCATTATCTCTCGTAGAATGTGACTGGGGTGGTTCTCTAATTCTGCGAACTTTTTCCTAGTTTTTTCTTTCACAGTGTCAGTCACTCTGATTTGTTGTAATTCTCTGAAAAGGAATCTTTCAGCTACGTATCTTGGTACGTTTACCGCTTCTCTTAGGCTTTTGTTGTGTTGTGCCTGTATTTTCTTTTTGGTTGTGTTGCATATACAGTATTGGAAGATTCAAAACGGAACATACGAATTATTAATACAATTATTAAGATCCCCTGACCTGCAATTACCCAGTGTAAATTTCAATATAACGTCGCGATGTCTTATAATTAATTCATTTGTTCGACTGGACTCCTTCTCCAGTCGATATTTTTCGACTGCTGCGCACGTGCGCACCTTAATAATACGACTAATAGTTGATTGTGTCGGTATTGGCCTATCTTCATACGCACAAGTAAATAAATTTATAATATCACGGTACGAGTTGCCCCCCTAAATCCCATTTTAAAATTTGTACTTTTTCTTTGTTTGTATACATGGTTTATGGTTAGAAACACTACTTTTATTTCAGCTTATGGCGTTATAATGAGAAGCAAAGCAAAGGGCATGTATTTGTTTTGCTCGGCCAGTGATGTTCCTTGGGACTGTTGCCAAATCGATAGATACCTTCGGCAAAAATCTGTAGATTTTGATGTATCATATACATCCTTTTAAATTTTAAATTATCAACAATATTTGGAATAATAAATATATTAAACTATACACTAACCAATTCAAATAATATCTAATGAACACAAAAAAATTGTTATTAATAAAACATTGTTATTATCTGCACAAAAACACAGAAAATCAGTGGACGATAGACAACAGTGTCGACGTACACCTGTCGAATACGCTACTAGAAATCGCCAAGGAGTAGCAATCCAGTCGAACAAATGAATTAATTATAAGACATCGCGACGTTATATTGAAATTTACACTGGGTAATTGCAGGTCAGGGGATCTTAATAATTGTATTAATAATTCGTATGTTCCGTTTTGAATCTTCCAATACTGTATGTCCCCATGCAAGTGACGCGTAGGTCAGTATAGGAAGGACTATACTGTTTATAAGTCTTCTTTTGGTTTTTATACGAAGTTTGCTTTTCCTTCCTGCTAGGCCTCTTATTGCGGCCCTTGCCATGTTGGCTTTTTGTACCGTAGCTTCTACGTGTTTATTAAAGGTTAGTCCTTTGTCCATTATTACCCCGAGGTATTTTGCTTTGCTTTTCCACTCAATGGGATTGTCTTGCACAGTTACCTGGTCTTCCGGTCGTTCTAGCCTCTTTTGAAAATGTACAGCTTGCGTCTTATCTGAGTTAACTGCAATTTTCCACTTTAGACTCCATTCTTCAATGTCGTCTAACGCTGTCTGTAGGTTGGTGACTGCTATGTCTACATTTCTGTGTTTGGCCGCTATCGCTGTGTCGTCGGCATAGAGGATTGAGATCCTTTCACAACCCAACGATATTTATCGGTTACAAAATCTAAGCCCACTCTTAATGGTAGGTTTCTTTCTTTACCAGTCGATCGGCAATACCGAAAAATACCGCTTCACGTGTAAAAGTCAAAATTGTACATTTTTGGAGTTAGTTCCTTTTAATAATCACCGATTCAATTATAACTTTTGCTACTTAACTTTTGCTTAAGAAATTTTGCTTTTAACTTTTGCCTGTAAAGTTTTGCCTGGTAACTTTTGCTTGTTAAGTTTTATTAGATACTTTTGTAAATCTGTATTTTCAAAATAAAATAAATGTTAAAAACTCGTTTTCGAAACACAAAGTTATATTTCGGGGGTTAGCGCAAACATTTCTGAGAGTAGGATTTTGATTGTAAAATGGAGCAGACGGTATTTTGTTTATGAGAGGTCTTCCAAGTCGAAGGTAACCGTATGGGGTCATCTCATTTATTGAGACAATTTGGCCTTTTTTTTTAAATTTCTATCCAGAAGCCATCTCATTCTGTATAAATATTAAACAACGAAGTCCAAAACAACGAAACGAGCATGAAATAGAATTACAAGATTTTGGCTTTTGATGAAGATTCCAAATTCCAGCCTTCCAAAAATAATTCCAATATCTTTTGAACTCAGCGGGGGAGGAGTTACGTCACTAGATACTACAGAATCGGCACACTTCAGTATACATCTGTTGTTATTATTTCGTATTTTCAAAATAAATAAATTTTTAAATTTTTTTTTGAACCTATTCTACCATTGTTGGATATAGGTCTCCCCCAGTTCTTTCCATCTTTCTCTATCTTGAGCTGTTCTCTGCCATGTGGGACCTCCTTGTTTCCTGATGTCATCTTTCCACCTCATCTGTGGTCTATTCCGATGGCATTGTTCCATCGTCCGTCTTGGAGACGTTCATTGTGTAAGCCCATTTCCATTTCAGTTTTGCTGCTTGTTCTATCGCGTCTACTGTCTTTGTTCTGGTTCTGATCCACTGGTTACGTTTTCTATCTTTAAGTGATATACCCAACATTTGTCTCTCCATCGCTCTTTGTGCCTTCCTTATCCTATCCAAATTGGCCTGTGTAAATGTCCATGTCTGTGCTCCGTAGGTGAGCACCGGTATTATACAGGAGTTATATATCTTGCTTCGTAAGTAAAGAGGGATTGTTTGATTTTTTAGAACGTAAGAAAGTTTGCCGAAAGCTGCCCATCCCATTCTTACTCGTCTCGATATTTCGGCTGTTTGATTTTCTCTGTTAGCTCTGATTGCTTGTCCTAGATAGATATACTCATTTACCTGTTATATTTTTTCTGTTTGTATTTTTATTGCCTCTTGGTCTTCCGTGTTTGTCATTACTTTTGTTTTGTTGAAGTTAATTTTTTAGGCCTTTTTGCAGTGATTTTTCATGAAGTTCATTCAGCATTAATTCCAGTTCTTGTCGTTCCGAGGAGACCAGGAGTATATCATCCGCATATCTAAGGTGATTTAGGTATTTTCCGTTAATACATATTCCTCTGTTTTCCCAATCTGTTGATTTTATTATGTCTTCGAGGGTCAAGGTAAACAGTTTAGGTGAAATTATATCGCCTTGTCGGACTCCTCGTTTAACTTTTATATTATCCGTTATTAATTTATTTGTCGTTCAGAATTACGGTCATGGTTGCGTTTTGGTAAATATAAATGTTTTGGCTGCTTAAATACATAAACAAATATATTTTAGGATTTGATCAAGTATGAAACATATTATAATTCTTCTTAGAGGCCTAGCTCTTCTGGACTAAATGTAGATGTAGTTGATGGACAAAAGATCTCATCTGGAAAGATCTTTAAGGCCAAACGAAATCTATAATTTATTTCAAAGTGGCACTAAACTTGAAAATGAAATACGGAAAAACACTGTCAATAAAAATAAAATTGTCGAATACAGAAAATCGTGCTCATGAAATATCGTGCGATATGAAAATAATAAACTGTTTTTAAGGGACACGATACACCTAATTTACGTCAATGATTTTTGGATATAAATATAGGAAAAATTTGTTAAGCATTTAAAGTTTTTTGTGAACTTCATCAAAGCTAAGCTAAGTGTTTTGAAGACATTAATTGTAATGAATAATTGTAATTCATTTCACAATACTTTTATTTTAAAATTGAAATATAAATATTAAATATAAATAAAAAATTGAAGAAACACTATTTTATATAATAAAAATATTTAGTGCTTACCTATTTAACGTAACCTAACGTATAAAAAAGAAGAAGAAATTTAATTGTAAATTTTTAATAAAACTTTTTTTAAATATATTGTAGAACAATCATAATGAAAGTGTTTTTTGCTATTGCTGCTCTTATTGTGGCAATCTCCGCTGGAGTGGATGAAGATTATGAGGAATGGATTTCTTTCAAGTAAGTCTATTTTTTTGATATTATAAACCATACCATTCACAAGAGCCAGGCATTGGTTTTCCATAGATTTCATTTGGTCCTCTGCCTATTAGCGTTTTAGTTTTGAAAGCTATAAACGGGTCATCTTCCTCTTCAGGTTCCTTCTCCTATCGGAGGTTGTAAATCATCTTCGCTATTTTAATTTTATTGGGCGCGTTTCTGAATAATTCTAATGAGCTGCAACCGAACTACTCTCTCAAATTTCTTAGCCAGGATATTTTGCGTCGTCCTGGGTTTCTCTTTCCTTGTATATTCCCTTGCATAATTAATCTAAGAAGTACGTACTTCTCAACCCCCATTATATGACCCAGATGTTGAATCTTTCTAATTTTAACAGTTTTTATGATTTCACATTCTTTATTCTTTGTAACACCTCTATATTAGTTACTTTTTTAGTCCACGATATTCTGTGGATTCTCCTGTAGCATGACATCTCAAAGGAGTTTAATTTTTTTATTTCAAACTGTTTTATTGTCCACGCTTCCATGCCGTATAGTAAAGTAGAAAAAAGTTGCAAAGTATGTTCTTCAATTTTATGAACGTGTTTCTTGGCATTTCTATTCTAGATCTGATTTCTTTTGTTTGATCTTCATCTTCGGTTAGCCACTTTCCTAAATATTTATATGTAGATACTCTTGATATAGTCCAAAAAGACATAAGATGCATTGAAAACTTGTACTGGCACCGAACGGCACAGTTAAAAAAGACAATTTTATATCCAAGCCCATACATATAAGAAGAGGCGTTCGACAGGATGTGTGCTTTCCCTTTCCCTTTCTAATCCCATTCCCAAGCGAATAGAATTAGAGATTAATACCAAAAAGACCAAATTCATGATCATCTCCAGAAACTTGGATGCACTTGAAAACTCCATCATAACACTGAATACTAAATCCATTGAAAGAGTGAGTAAATTTAAATACCTGGGATCGTGGCTTTTTGAAGACTGGGCATCGGACAGGGAAGTAAAATGTCACATTGAGCAAGCTCGACAAGCTTTCGTAAAATTCAAGAAGGTACTGACTTGTTCAGAGTTCGATCTTTAACTGAGACTAAGGTTTACTAAGTGCTACGTATGGTCAGTGCTGCTATATGGCGTAGAGGGCTGGACACTCAAAACGAGGGATATAAACAGATTAGAAGCTTTCGAAATGTGGCTTTATCGCCGTATCCTAAAAATACCATGGACAGCGAAAATCACAAATATAGATGTCCTTAAAAGAATAAACCAAGAACGCCAACTATTCGAAACCATCAAGAAAAGGAAAACGGCGTATCTAGGTCACATCATGCGAAATGAAAAATACCAGTTCCTCCAACTTATAATCGAGGGTAAAATTGAAGGCAAGAGAGGAATGGGACGCAAGAAAATGTCCTGGCTTCGAAACATAAGGCAATGGACAGGGATTAACGACATACAATCTCTGATACATATTGCCAGAAATAGAGAATTAATGGAAAATGTGATCGCTAACATCCATTAGCGGATTTGCATCTGAAGAAGAAGAAGTTACTATTTCGATCGTTGTATTATTGATGGTCAAGTTATCTACATTTTGTGATTTTTTTAAAAATATCATTGATTTCGTTTTCTTGAGATTCATTTACAGTCCGTACCTTTTACATGCATTGTATACATGTTGTATTATGTACTGTAGATCTTCCATGTTACTTGCAAATTTGACCGTATCGTCGGCATATCTAATATTATTAATGCTATTTTCGTTGACCAAAATATCTTCCACAAGATCCAATAAAGCTTCTTAAAATATCACTTCACTGTAGACGTTGAATAAGAGTGTTGAAAGTATACACCCTTGTCGAACTCCTCTAAGTATACTTACTTCCTCTGTCAGTTCTCCTTCGACTCTTATTCTTGCTTTCTGATTTTGATACAGATTCGATATAATTTGTAGATCTCTACTATCTATGTTTTTTTTTTCTTAAGAATACTTAAAAGCTTTTTCATGTTGAAATCTGTCAAAAGCTTTTTTAAAATCTATGAAGCAAGCATATATGTAATGATTTATATCCAGACATCGTTGTGTCAGAACATTGACTCCGAATAATGGTTCTTTAGTTCCTAGACCCTTTCTAAAACCCATCTGTGAATCACGTATTTCTTGTTCAAATTTCATGTGGATTCTGTTATGTATGATTTTAAGGAAGGTTTTTAACGCATGGCTCATTAATGCAATTGTCCGATAGTCATTGCAATCTTTAGTATTTGTAATTTTTGGAATCGTTAAAAAAGTTGAGAGAAGCCATTCTTTGGGTATGTGTCCCGTCTTGTATATGGAATTAAAACGGTTTACCAAGACAAGACATTTTATCAGGTCTTGGAGCTTTTCTACCTTTTGTGTGTTTTATGGCATAAATAACTTCCTCTTTCATTATTTCTGGTCCCGTGGTTTCTCCATCATATTCTAATTGTTCTACTTTTTGGTCATAAAATAGGTGTTCAATGTATTCTTTCCATTTACGTAATTTGTGTTGAAAGTGTCATACCTTTCCTCACATTCCTCAATTTCTGGACATTAATGACATCCATTTCCTTAGCTTGTTATTTTCTGTTTATTTGTTTATTAATTTCTTGATATTTAATTTTATCTTTGTTTTTATGTATTCTTTTTTCGTACATCTTTTCGAGAATTTCTTGTGTTGTCCATTCAGTAGCGCACCTAGAATTTCTTTTTCGGGGTGGGGGGGGTTGGTTAACCACCGAATTTTTTTCATGCACCTCCACCATTTTAAGTCCTTAAAATGTGTAAATAACAGTGTCGGAATAGGGTACTAGGGGGGGTATTAACCCCCAAAACACCCCCTGGGTGCGCCACTGCATCCATTCTTGTTTGGCAGCTTTTGTAAATGTTAATGCTTTCCATCCCACAGTCTCTATTGTTGTTTTTATATTCTTTCATTTTGTTTCAATATTTGTAGTGTTTTTATTTTGTTGTTTTATTTCTTGGATACTCTCATTTATTTTATTTCGATTTTCTTGGTATGTATTTGGTTTTCTTAGTTTATCAATATAGTATATTTGTGGTCTAGATCTTTTCATTAATGGTTTTCTCAATCTTACATTCATATTTGCTACTACTGGGTTGTGGTCCGAGTTTACATCTGCTCCAGGGTAAGTCTTCACTACTGCAATAGAGTTCTTGTACCTGCTCCTTCTCAAGATGTAATCTATCTGATTTCTTATAATTCTATCTTTGTTGTCTCCAGGAGCTTTCCACGTATATGGCCGACGATTTGGTAATTAAAACATTGCAAAGGGGTCATAGCGCAGTCAAATGGTAGATTTTATATTTATTCATAGTACCTGTGTTGGAGAACTATATCTCCAGCCAAATACTTATATATCAAAAAAAAAATAATTCTATTTCGTATCAAATAAATATTTTCGCGCCGGTTACCTAAATAAATCCAGTCTACCTAGACTTTCTTCTGAGAATGTTAATCCCCGCCCACAGCGCCTACTTGACGATAGACCGATAGACCGGCTTTTCAAAATGCATAAACAAAAAAATATTGCAGCGGGGCTAGTGATTTAGCGACTTTCGTAGGGCTAACATCTACATTTCAAAGTTCGGAGAGGATTCTCCACGTTGCAGTTTACGCAGTTGGCCGGAAAGCCGTAATATGTGAATAAGTGTTATGGTGTTTTCGCTTTCGTTCACAAATTGTAATATTTAAATTAAGTTCCTACGATAAGTTACACACTCAAATTTTATAAGCTCTATTTCTTGCCCTTTCTTTTTTCAATTACAGTTTCTTTCTAAACAAGTAATTGTTTTATTTCACTATATCAATTCAACAGGCCAGATCAAAGCAACTTTGAAAGTCCAATTAAGTTTCTCTACTGAGCTGTCGAAGGCTAGCGGACTAATTGGACTTACAGCAAGAACAAAACCGCTGAAAGAGACACTGTTGCATACAAGCCTCTCCATGGAAGGGATGTTGTAAACCGGCACCCCTCCAACCTGGTAGAATTAAATTAGTGCACCAGCTTGCACAGGTTTAGTAGATGTATCTTTGATGTATGATTTTTAAAAATATTTTTAAAATATGGCTAATTATGTTGATGGTTCGGATTGCAGACTACGGATTTGGTTTCTTTGGTGGAGCATTAAACGTCGACTTTAGACATGATCTTGGTATTACTCCGTTGAAATATATGTCATTGAATATATTTGTTAGTCGTTGAGTACCTTCGCTGTATGATAGCTTTATGAGTTCAGCATATACATTGTGAGGTCCACGATCTTTGTTATCTCTTAGTTGTGATATTGCTTTTTCCACTTCTGCTATTCCATCTGATGTGATTGGTAAGTGGTCATTACATATGTAGAACGAAGGTTGTTTGGACCTATTTTCATCAAAGAGTAAGAATATGTATTTGGTCCATATGCATATTTCTTGAATTTTATCTGTGATAATTTTTCCCTGTTGATCTTTCAGTTTGCTAGCTGTATTGGATTTTTGAAGACCAGCTGCTTGTTTTACCTTTTTATGCATATTAAATGTATCGTGTTTTTGTTTTAACAGCCCTATCTATTCAGACTGTGTTTTTAACCAATTTCCTTTGGCTTTTCGTATTTCGGTTCTTATTTGTCTCTGAATATTTTTGAACATTTTTTTGTTATTCTATTAAAATAAAATATAAAATATTAATTTTTTACCTCACTTTAAGGTTAAATTTTCAAGACATTATGGGCTTGCAGAAGACAAATACAGATTCCAAATTTTTCAAAATAAACTTCGTAAAATTGAACTGCACAACGAAAAATATGCAAAGGGCGAGGTAGGATGGTTCCAGGGTATTACTAAATTTACAGATTGGACCGAAGAAGAGATTGAATCTATCCTAAATAAAGAAATTGCTAACCAACCAATACTTGGAGAGAGTTTAGGAGTTTACAAAGCTGATCCAAATGAACTTTTAGCAGCATCCGTTG